ATGTCTTAAGATTACAAAGTTTTTACGGTTACATAGGATAAAAACAATAGCTGTATGTTTAGGCAGGATGCAATTAAGCAGGAAGCTGTAGAGGAAATAAGTTTGTTAATTTTCTAGGCAGGGACTTTTACAACTGTAAGAATCTGATCTTCCTTAGGTCAGAGAGATGTTGACGCAGCTAGGGGGTGTTATCTGTTCCCAGGCCTCTGTACCCTTTGTTTAGCCTTATCTGTTGGACTGCCATTTGGGAAACTCAGAGAGGCTTGGAAATTTTTCTTTTTCCTATATAGGCTTTGGAGTCTTAAGTTTTAGACTTTTATTAATTTTTCCCTCTCATAAATACCTCCAGCAAACAACTGTAACATTCTAATGCTACCCCGATACAGTGAAGAACAAGTTTCATTCTAACGTTTACCCTAGATACAGTGACTCTACTCGGTTCCCCTACAGTAGTTATGGGGCTCTGGGTGGCTCTCCCCAGCATGAGGACCTGAGTTTGAATCAGAACCCACATAGAAAGCTAAGCATAACTGTGTAGGCCTGTAGCCCCAGCACTGGGGAGCAGATATACGCACATCCCAAGAGCTCACTGGCCCAGCCAGCTTCTGGGTCAGGAAACGACCTTGACTCAAGACAGTAAGATGAAAGAGGAGGACGCTTGATGTCTTAGGGCTTCTATTGCTGCAACCAAACACTGAGACCAAAGGCAAGCTGGGGAGTATGACGGTTTGAAAGAAAATGGCTCCCAAAAGGTGTGGTATGACTAGGAGGTGTGACCCTGTTAGAGTAGGTGTGGTCTTGTTGGAGGAAGTGTGTTACTGCAGTGTTGGAGACCACTTCCTGTTGCCTGCAAGATGCAGAACTCTCGGCTACTTCTCCAGGAGCATGTCTGCCTGCACGCCTCCATGCTCCCTGCTATGCTAATGGACTAAACCTTTAGAAGAGCTGCTGTGGTCACGGTGTCTCTTCGCAGCAACCGAAACCCTAACCGAGACAGGAAGGAAAGAGTTTGTTCAGCTTACACTTCCACGTTGCTGTTCATCACCAAAGGAACTCAGGGCAGGAACTCAAGCAGGGCAGGAATCTGGAGAGATGTCACCACCCACCACAGGCTGGGCTGTCCCCCATCAATCACTAATTAAGAAAATGCCTTGCAGCCAGATTTATGGACGTTTTCTCAGTTGAGGCTCCTTGCTCTCTGATGACTCTGGCTTGCGTCCAGTTGGTACATAAAACTACCCAGTACACTGTAGTTGGATGTTTTTTGTTCTGCTGGTTCCCCTGGACCTGTTTCTCTCCTGCTCACAGGTTCCTGCAACCACTTACAAAATAATCACTCAGAGGCTAATGTTAAATACAACTGTTTGGCCAATGGCTCAGGCTTATTACTAACTCTCTCTTACGGATGAACCCATTTTTAATAATCTGTGTATTATCACATGGCCATGGCTTACTCCTTTGGTGGCTACATGGTGTCTCCCTGACTCTGTCTTCTTTCTCTCTGACTCTTTGAATTTCCTGCCTGGCTTATTCTGTATAGCTGTTGTTCAAAACAGCTATATTCATCAACCAATAAAAGCAGCACATATTCGAAGCATACAGAAGGAGATTCCACATCAGTACACTTGATACCCTGTTCTCGTCTTCTCCGGGAGGTGTCTGGGTGCACAGCCACACAATCACATGAAAGCAACACACTCTCTCTCCCTCCCTCCCTCTCTCCCTCCCCCTCTCTCTCATACACACACATACACACATACATACTGTCTCTCTCTTGCTCTATCTCTGTTTCTCTCTCTCTCACACACACACACACATCCACACTGTCTCTGTCTCTGTCTCTCTCTCTCTCTCTCTCACACACACACCCCTAATTAAAGTATGTGGGTCTATGGTTCCCAGGGCAGGGTCTACTGGCAGTGTGTAATTTGCATCATGTGGTGAACTGTGCTGTGCTATTTGAGCTCTCTGAGAAGACGGTTTTGGTTGTGGCCCCCTCCACCCATTTCAGACTGGAGCAGGTTTGTCTCCAAGTGTCCTTCAAGACCCCTCATGTGGAGAGGGGGCTGCTTAGCCCTCCCACCCTTCGCTGATGGTGAGCACAAAAAGTGGAACAAAAACAAACCGATAAAGCCATGTGCCTTTGGGGACAGCCCAAAGTAAACCGCTTCCCATAGAGGTTGCTATTGTTTGTCCTGGAGTACAAAATGCCCGCAGTGAGGAAGACCAGCACAGCTGTGGAGAGAAAGCCCAACCGAGAACTCGAGCTGGCTGCCTCGGTTTCCCAGCCAGTTTTTGCTGGACGTGCGGGTGCCTGATTTGGTAGCTTTTGGTTGCTGGCTGTTCTTTTCCTTGTAACAGGGTCTGCCCTGGCTTGCCTGGAACTCTCTGTGTAGATCAGGCTGGTCTCGAACTCACAGACAGCCCCCTGCCTCTGCCTCCTGAGTGCAGGATTAAGGGCGTGCGCCAGCACACCTGTCGTCTCTTGTTATTTATTCTTTTGCTTTGTCTTGTTATCTACTTAATAATATCAGTTGTTCAGAACCGAAAGATTATTCTCTGGACTGGATAGCACACAGCGGGTCTCAGCTTTGGTTTTGAACGAACTCAGTTGTGCCAGTGGCCTGGACTAGCTATATTTGTCATTGTGGTAGTGGGGCATGGTTTTCCTGGGGTTGGGCCACTGTGTGCGGCAGTTGGGCCATCACAGGTGCCTTGTGGGGTACCATCAGCTACTGGAGGTACAGCAGGCTCCGTGGTGGGTGGGGCCGTTACCAGGCTTACTGTTGGGCTGGGCTTGGGCATGCCTGGGCGCTGTGGACCGCAGGGCTGAGCAGTGGCCTCAGTAAGAGTGCTGAGGTGCCACCTGGCTGATGGTTGGACGAGGTAAAGGAGTGGCGTGGTGTGTCATTTAGCAAGCCCCCCAGAGATGGGGGAAGCTGCCCATTTTGCAGGCTGTTCTGCCTCACGTGGATGTGGTGGGCACTGCGGTCGGTCAGGCGTGTGAGGTTTCGTTGGGCAGGAGGCAGTGACTTCTGGCGAGCGGCTGGTCTGGCCACAGGTGCACATGGACATGCCAGGCTGCTGGTGTGGGTCTGTTTCCTCTCTGCACATGCGCTGAAGGCTAGGCGGCCGTACTGGCAGAGTCTGGGGTCGGCTTCTTCCTGCTGCACTGGAGCTCCAAGCAGCTGAGCTGGGTTTGTAGTCCTCTGGCCGACTATATGAACACACACGGTGGGATAACTGTGGGGTTTCCAGAAAAAGAAAACCACTGTGGGGGTTACCAGCCCCCAGGGCAGGGCAAATTCTACCAATGCCTCTCTGGTTTCAAGATGGCACCGAACCAGACTGGGTTAGACCCCGTGGGTAAAAGGGGGCTTGAGCGCGGAGGCAGTTCAACTGCGAACTCTGGGCAGGTCTCCCAAGTGTGAGGCCTGTGAGGACTTCAGGGGCTCCCGTGTAGCTGTCTCAAGGGTGACGGAGACCACTTGGGGATGGCGATGTCTTCAGCTTGCCTTTTCCTTGGGGAGGTGTGCTCTGGAGCGGAGTGACCCTGGCAGGAGACCACGTGGGCGGGGCAGTGAGAACTGCCCCCTTTGCGGAGCTGCTACCTCCCTGTCGCTCTCCAGCCAAGAGCCCCCATCGGTGGAGTTGGCATGTGGCTGCTTACAGAATATCATAGTCCCTTCCTTGTTGGGAAAGAAGAGGGACTCTGTTCACATGTCTTGCCAACCTCAAGCTCTTCGGGTTGGCCGTACCAATGCGCTGGGTGAGCCGAATGCACAAGCCCAGCATTGCCTCAGTGTCTCTCTCCTCGGCCCCTCTTGGAAATAAACGGGGGGATAATGATTATACTATAGTCTTAAAATTGTTTTTAAAATAATAGTAGTGAGGGGCTGGAGAGACGGCTCAGCGGGTAAGAACACTGCTTGCTGCTCTCACAGAGGTCCCTAGTTTAATTCCCCGCAACCACATGGTGGCTCACAACCACGTATAACGGGATCTGACTCCCTCTTCTGGAGTACAGGCAGACAGAGCACTCACATATATAAAACACAAAACTAAATACGTCTTTTAAAAATAGTAGTAATAATAATAAAGTCTGTCTTTGCCATTACCCCACCAGCTTATTAATAGTATCTCCACAGGTCCATCTAACAATGTTTTTATTTAAAACCAACAGCAGTAAATCTGGCCTCATAAAAACCCAGCCTGTTAGCTGGTGACTACTTAAGACTAAGGAGCATGAAGACAAAAAGCATGGTGTAATGTCTGCTTGGCCCAGCCAGAAGGGTAAGGTAGCCAGAATTCAGACCCGTGAACTTGGCTGAAACCTCACCAATCTGTTTCATAACTGATTTACAACAGCAACAGAAAACCCTGTATTGTTTCAAAACCTGGGTGGGCTTGTGTGTTCTCTGAAACAGTGATCAGGAAAAGAGACCAAGCCACACAGGATGGCTCTGGTTCCTCTCCAGGGAGCAGAAACAATCCCGGCCCTCTCTCCTGTTTCAGGCGCTCAGAAAGACGCTAGAACACGACGGATGTTTTCATAGCTGGTTTAAAACAACAGAAATTCGTTTCATCAGCTTCTGAGATGGGAAGTCCCAAGTCTTGGCAGGGCCACAGAGTCATGTCCTGTCGCTCCCCTGCTCCCGCCCCAAGATGCCCTTATGCCCATTTTCACATAAAGCACTATTTTTAGGACTCGAGTGGGCATGACTTTTTGGGGGGGGGTAATGTCCACCTCAGTACAAATACGGAACATTTTCTAGTTTTCATTTTTATTATTTTTTTATTTTTTTACGAGACAGGGTTTCTCTGTATTGTTTAGGAGGCTATCGGTCCAGCCCGGCCTCGAACTCACAGAGATCCGCCTGCCTCTGCCTCTGCTGGGATTAAAGGCGTGCGCCACCACCGCCTGGCTTGTTTTGTTTTTAATCGGTGATCATGATGTATCGAAAGCCCTCAGGGATTTGCAGCAATAAGGGAACGTATTGTGACAGTTCTGGTATGTACTTTTTATTTTATTTTTTCAGATGAGGTTTCACTATGTAGCACAGGATGGACTCGAATACAAAGTCCTCCCGCCTCGGCCTCTTGAAGGGGGGATCGAAGGAGTGGCCACCACGAGTGGCTCATACTTCATTCTTGAAGAAGACGGTCTGTCAGCGTTACAGTTAGTCTTGTTGCACCCCTGAGAAGAGCGCCGGGAGCAGAGAGCGCGCCTGCCACCGGCTCTCTCTTGTTTTAAATCTGAAGCACAGGCCATAACTGGTAGCTAGGAAAGGGAGATAAAGGAAGATTTGCGCCACTCACTCCGCGGCCGAGGCAGGCTCTTAGGTGTGTAACCTGTTTCATGTCACTCTCAGTGTGAGACCTGGAGACAGGACAACCGTGTCCGGGTTCAAGGGTTTCTTTTTTCTGTTAAGATTTATTACTTTCTGGGCTGGAGAGATGGCTCAGCGGTTAAGAGCACTGACTGTTCTTCCAGAGGTCCTGAGTTCAATTCCCAGTAACCACATGGTGGCTCACAACCATCTGTAATGAGATCTGGTGCCCTCTGCTGGCCTGCAGGCAGAAGACTGTATACACAATAATAATAATAATAATAATAATAATAATAATAATAATAATTAAAGATTATTACTGCCGGGCGGTGGTGGCACACGCCTTTAATCCCAGCACTCGGGAGGCAGAGGCAGGTGGATCTCTGTGAGTTCGAGACCAAGCCTGGTCTACCAAGCGAGTTCCAGGACAGGCTCCAAAACAATACAGAGAAACACTGTCTCGAAAAACAAAAAAACAAACAAACAAACAAAAGATTATTACTTTCTAAGATGTGCTTTGACTTTCGTGTATGTGAGGGTTTCGTGTGTGAGTTCCCACGGAGGTCAGAAAAGGGCTTCTGATGCCAGGGAACCGGAGTTACAGATGGCTGTGGACCGCCTGCCGTGGGTGCTGGGAACTGAACCCAGGCCCTCCGGAACAGCGGGAAGCATCCCCAACTGCCGAGCCTCTGCAGGGCTTCTTCTTGACCAGAACGGAAGAATCTTGATTCTTCTCCAGCAACCTGCCAGAAGAAACAGGAGAGTTCCAGCCTTTTTGCCACAGACTAAACCATCCACCCGCCCCGCCCCGCCCCGCCCCGCCCCGCCCCCTTCCCAGTTTGTAGCAGATTCCGTGGTGGCCCTAGGACCCTTGCAAGGGCTTCGGTGCTCTTGCTCTCATTTTCAACTTTTCTATTTTGAGATGATTTAAGTCTGATGCAGAGAACCCCTTGATGCCTATCCCATCCGGATGTGCCCGTGGTCACTTGGTATCTTAGAAACCGGACTGGGCCCCCAGGAGCCTGAGGAGGAGGGCTCAGCGCATGCTCCTCACGTCTGCTGAGAACACAGGTTTGGGTCGCATAGGTGGGGCTGGCTCTCATCCTCTATCACAGGATCCGATCTCTGGCTCCCCGTCAACCTTGTCTCATGAGACCTCAATTCGGTGAGGAACATCTAAGAACATCTTGTTAGCGTAGTCTGTCGTGGACCCCAAACCAGGAGGGTGATGAATTAGACTAGGGAATGTGTTCCTTTGTTCTATTCTTGTTCCCTCTTCCCTCCTTGCTTTCTTCTTTCCTTTTCTCCTATTCTCTTTTCTCTTCTTGTCTTTTTTCTTTGGAGACAGAATCCCTGTAGCCCAGGCTGGCCTTGCACTCCCCCAGAAACCTCACTGACTCAGCCTCCGCAGTGCTCAGGTTACAGGCACATGCCACCACGTCTAGGGTAATGATATTTCTAGATCCATCCCGAAGATGGAGAGTGAACCTATGACAGTTGTTGCAGAGCATCTAGAATCGTCTATAAAAACTGCAGCCCAGAACGAACCAACAATTGTATCGTTTTGTTCGGCTATTAGCTGTACATTATCAGTAGGGTTCAGTATGGTGACTCCGACCGTGTGCACAGCATGCTAAAGCGACGTAAAACCCAAGTAGCAGCCAGAAGAACAAAGGGCACAGGCGTTTTTTGCTTTGCGAAGGAGGTATTTTGAGAACTGGGAGCCAACAGGAAACTCTTGACCTGCTTCTGGTTTTGCTTCTGGCTCCCTCTTCAAAGAAACTGTTCAGATAGAAACAGACAGGTGGAATAACCGTGTTGATGGGGAACTCGGAGCCTGGGCAGAAGAGAAGGTGGACCGTGGAAAAAGCCACCGCCTGGCCCAGAAGACGTGCTAAGACCTCAGAAGTGTGGGCCGTGGTCCTGGAGACGCTAAAGAACCAGGAGGCCACCTCATCACCACATCTCCCAGCTTGACTCTTAATGTTTAGACTGTATTAACCACAACCTGGAGAGTAGTTTCATATTAGAGACACCGGTGGGAGAGGGAACTTTGGGCCGAAAAGCTACAGAGGACTTTTATCGAACATTTGATGTTTTGAGTATTCTAACATGCCACTTTTCTTTTTGGATATTCTTCTTTGCCTTTTTAAGGAAAATCCTCTCTCTCTCTCTCTCTCTCTCTCTCTCTCTCTCTCTCTCTCTCTCTCTCTCTCTCTCTCTCTCTCTCTCTCTCTCTCTCTCTCTCTCTCTCTCTCTCTCTCTCTCTCTCTCTCTCTCTCTCTCTCTCTGTCCCCTCGCACTAAGACACACAGATACATTCCCAAGTGCTGGGGTAACAGACATGAGTCACCGCACTCAACTACAGACGTATCTATCTCTTCTTGAACCTTCTGATTTCAATCCTTGGCAGTTCCCTCCCACTTTCTCAGACATCTGGACGCAGATACGCTGCGTTTGAATCTGGTGTGTTTCTCAAAGGCCCAGGAGTCACAGCCCTGGTTCTAGCTCGTGCTTTTGGGAGTGGCAGGGCTTAGTGACAGGCTTGAGTCACAGTGACTTGCTCTCTGGGTTTTCACCTCCTACTCACCGCAGACATGAGGTGAGCACCCCGGCCCACTGTACATTTCCACCATGACACTGCGCTTGTGATGGACCCAAAAGCATTGTGACCAATTGGTCACGGGATGAATGAACTGAAGTCTTCAGAACTATGAGCCAGAATAAGCCAGATTTCTCTTTGATACTTTGTGACAGAGTTTCTGTCCCATCTGGTCCCACTGTCCTTCAGCCCCAAATAAACATACAGATGCTTGTATTAATTACAAACTGTGTGGCCCATAGCTCAGGCTTCTTACTGGCTAGCTCTCTCTTAATTATTAACCCATTTCTGTTAACCTGTATATCTCCATGAGCTCTTGGCTTACCCAGTGATGCCCGAACCTCTTGTTTTCTCGGTCACTACATGGCGTCTCTCTCTCTCTCTGGTGGCTTCTCTCTGCCTCCTCTCCCCAGAATTCTCCTCATCTGGTGTTGTGCCCCAAATCACCAAGAGGCCAATTTCGATGCAAAAGCAAAGTCTTTTATTGTAAGGTTTAACAAGCTAACCCCATTAGCTCGGGCCCTTCACTCCGCCACCATGGCAGATGGCTAGAGAAAGACCGGGAGCAACCTCGAGGCAGGGATCTTAAAGGGCAGCGCAAGGGAAGTGTCTAGGGGTATGAAACAGTCCAGGTTTGGGTGACCCGCCTGTGCTGATTGGTCAACTGGTTGTTATAGCCCATAGGCCCTCCCAGAGCTGTTGCTATGTTCTGCACGTCACTGCTGTGCACTGTCCGTAAAGCACAGCGCTGCCAGCTAACTTCTGATTGGCTCCTTGCCATGAGAAGGGCATCTGACCTCCTAGTGACCAGGACAGGAGCGTCAAGGTCTTGTAAGCATATGTTAGCCTCTCATGGTTGCTAAAATGGGGAACTGGTCACTACACTGGTAGTCCTGCTTATACTTTCTGCCTGGCTACTGAGCAATCAATGTTTCATTCATCAACTAATAAGAAACATGTACAGAAGGACGTCCCCATCAATGTTAATTGTAATTGTTAATTGCACTTGTGGTGGTCCCTGAAAACTGGTTAATTTTTAACCCTTGTCTCCACCATTCCATTCCTCTGATGTAAAGCGGGTGGGTGAAGATACATACCCAGGTAGGGGACTCTTGACAGCCAAAGGACTGTTAGCAGACATGGCTCACCAAATGGTAACGGAGCTTGGTTTGGGCAGGATTATTATTTCTCAGGGTTTCCTCTGTGTAGTTTCGTAGACCAGGCTGGCCTCGAACTCACAGAGATCCGCCTGCCTCTGCCTCCTGAGTGCTGGAACCAAAGGTGTGCGCCACCACGACTGGCTGTTTCTCAAATGTTAACAAGAAATGTTCCTCTACTTTCCAGCTAACGTCCAGGTCACACGTAGACTAAGGAAGAATGACGAACTTGACCATGGAAGCAATCTCAGCAAACTTTAGCGCCTTTGTTGTTTTCAAGTTCAGGGATACCCGGGCAAGACAGCTATATGATCTGACTGCCATAAGAAATAACCCTGGGGCCGGGCGTTGGTGGCACATGCCTTTAATCCCAGCACTCGGGAGGCAGAGGCAGGCGGATCTCTGTGAGTTTGAGACCAGCCTGGTCTACCAAGGGAGTTCCAGGACAGCCTCCAAAGCCACAGAGAAACCCTGTCTCAAAAAAAAAAAAAAAAAAAAAAAAAAAAGAAAGAAAGAAAGAAAGAAAGAAAGAAAGAAAGAAAGAAAGAAAGAACCCTGGGATGAGGTGCTTTGGAAAGACAGTGTTTGAAGGGCTCAGCTAGTATCAAAATTTCTTAAATGGCTAAGCGTGCACCCTTCCCCCATGGGGGTCTGTTGACCAGCTTGTGACTAGCAGCTTTTAGCAAAAACACTTCTCATCCCCTCCTCCCAGTAAGGCCTGCATGCAAGTTCCTGTTTTCTGTCCATCCTAATTGTCTAAATCTTAATTACTGTTTTTGGCTCACCCTTTGTTGGAGGTCTCTGGGAAGGTAGGCTTCTGACCTGGGTGTTTTTCCACCATGCCTGCCTTTGGTATAAAAGGCTCCACCTTTGTTAAAATAAACGCCATTCTCCTTGTAAGAATGAGCTGCTGTCTTTGTCTTCATTTACATCCTTAGCCCTTGGCTTCAGATTGTTGTGAAGTATTGTAGCTCTGTAGCCTGCAGCTCACTACAGCTAAGCATAAAATTATCACGTGAATCACACCTTTGACTCCTGGATATATACTCGAGAGAAATGAATACATGTGCCTGCACACAGACCTATACATGGCATGCTGGGAGTGACGCTCAGTGGTACAGTACTTGCCTAACATGGACCGAGACCCCCCAGGGTTCTTCCCTGGTTCATCACAACCTTAATCAACACCCACCTACTAGTCAGCCACTGAAGGGTGTCAGCAAAGTCTAACACTATGCAGGAAAAGACAAATGAATCATCTGAGACACAGTGCAGTGCAAAGAGCCACAAGAGCCATCTACGAAGGGACAGTTCCCCTTTGTTCTGCTTGCACGAACTTTGAAGAAGCAGCAAAATCATCGATGCAGAAAGCAGCCTGGGGTTTCTGGAGCGGAGAGGGGCTGGGGAGGGTGTAGAGCGTGGTTGCTAACGGCTACACGCTTCTTCTGGGAGTGGGAACGCTCCGCAGTGGGATTGCAACAGTGGAGTCAAAACTTATTAACTAGATTAAGAACTCAAAAAAAAAAAAAAAGAACAAAACAAAACAAAAACGGGCGGTGGTGGTGCATGCCTTTAATCCCAGCAGAGGTAGGAGGATCTCTGTGAGTTCGAGGCCAGTCTTCAAAGAGAGTTCCAGGACAGTCTCCTAACCTATAGAGAAACCCTATCTCGAACCCCTCCCCCCCCCAAAAAAAGAACGTTGCATGGCTGAGACATAATGGCTTTTGAATGATTTCCCAGTAAAACAGTGATTTTTTTTTTTAAGAAATGAAATTGTGTTTGTCACGGGATGCACGGGCAGGTCTGGGGATGGTAACAATGTAGCTTGAGGGTTGTTTGCTGTGAGTTTCCTGTGTTCATGGTATTGTCCCCTCCATTCTTTGAACAGCTTCCTGGAGGCGGTTACATCTGTCCTGTACAAGGTTATGCAGGCTGTGGCATTGTGGTCAGTTTCAAGGCTAGGTCTGGTTTAAGGCAGGAACCGTGCAAGGCTGAGGGTCCCCTCAATTGGTTTAACAAAAGCAATTTGTTGTCATTATTTTGAGTGATGCTTTCTAGCTAGGAGTTCCGTCGCTCTGGAAGGAGAGAAGAAATGGACTGGGATTTGAAAACATGCGATATTATGTAGGATTTAATCTACCCATTGTGGCTTGTTTCCTTCTTCTTTTCCTTGGGTGGGAACGAAGTGGCATCTGATGGCTTTGCTATGAGTTTCACGAACGGGCTCCTGGTGATAGCTCAGCCTCAGCGTGCCTTCTTTGCAAGAACTCCGAGAACTGATCTCTGAGCAAAAACCACACTTGGGTACACAGTGTAATTTTGGGAGACACGGCCTCAAGAAGCTTAGGCCTACGTAGTTGAGGATGGCCCTGAACCTCTGATCTTCCCATCGCTACCTTCAAATGGTGGGGTGACGGCATGCACCTCCATGCCCTGTGTATGGGCTGCAAGGGATCAAACTCAGGGCCTCAGACATGACAGGAGAGCACACTGTCACTTGAGCTACCTCCCCTTAGGTCCCACATTTGTCTCTGAGGATGGCTAGACACTGCAAACTCCTGATCGAATACAGAGTCTGGAGTGAATCTGGAGTTGTCTAAAGAGCCCAAGTGCTAAGCTTTTGAAGTTTATTTGTAGTTAAGCTCTGAGATGACCTTTAAGGATAAAACAAAGTGTGCCTCTAAGGGTGTAACTTTTAAACTATCCTTCCACTAACTAAAGCAAGGACTACATTTTAGCAATGTGAAAAGTATCAAAATATGTTTTATAGTTTCACATGCTATGTATCACATAGGTGCTGTAAAATTCTGGGTGACTTGATACACACAACTGAAATTGAAAAGCAGTTTTAAGAAATCGGGGCCACAGCTGGGAGGTGGTGACATACGCCTTTAATCCCAGCACTCGGGAGGCAGAGGCAGGCGGATCTCTGTGAGTTCGAGGCTGGGCTGGACCGACAGCCTCGAAAACAATACAGAGAAACCCTGTCTCGTAAAAACCAAAAAAAAAAAAAAAAAAAAAAAAAAAAAGAAATCGGGGGTCCATATACCCAGGCTTTTATAAAGAAATACCATAGGATGGTCATTTTTAAACAATAGAACATTTCTGATCTGATCTCAGTTCTGCAGGCTGGGGTTGTCCGAGATGGAGGTGCAACCAGTGAGGATCTGTCTTCACAGACGGCGCCTTCCGTTTGTCTTTGGAGGCTTGGAAGAAACAGCCCCTTCTGTTAGAGAGACTGGTCCCAGCCATAGGGCTCCATCCTGTTGACTTAGTCCCAGCCCCCAGATGAGCACTTCTCACCACACAGGGACTGGGTTTCAACACACACACTTTGGAGGGACAGTAACACTGAGACCACAGCATCGAGCTGACCTGCACAGGCTCTTTTCTTTTACCTGGAATACTTTTTACTGGCTTTGATTTTCTCTTGCATGTGTGTTTTGGTTAACTACAACTTTTTATTTAATCTGCAAGTATCAGTGACCTGACTCTTCATGCTTGGTTGTTGTGCCAAGAAGGCTTCATCTACAGAACAAGTTTACTAATCAGTCATCATTCTGAGTAATAGCTATAACCAGGGCGCCATGCCAGGGGCTAGCACACAGGGAGGAGTTGCAACATGGGAAACTGCTTTGGGGGGGGGATATGATGGGGGATGGATGGATGGTAGGGTGGAAAGACATTGCTCAAAGCGTGGAAATGAAACAGTTAACTTCTGAGTTCCCAAACAGTACTAAGTGACTACAGTGACTATAGCTGGCTGAGAACTAAAAGCAAAAGTAACCGTTTTCCAGGAAACGCCTGCCCAAGGGTGCTAGAACCAGCCTAAGGAGCCGTGGAACGAAAGGCAGGCAGCTAGCTGGGGCTGCATCCTGTACAGTTTATTGGGGGAATTTGCCGACGAGTGTGTGGTCTTGGTCTTGGGTGACAGCTAGACTGGTGGAGACTGGTGGATTCTCAGTTTGGGGTTTTGGTTTTTGTTTTTTTTTTTTTTTTTTTTTACCAAACCTGACTTCATGCAAACCAGAAAGTGCCTGGTTTTATATTAAGCCGATATCAAAGATGACCGGCACATTCCTGGATTGCCAGTGCCAGGGTCTGCTGGCTGTAAAGCTCTGCCTACGCTCCCACAGTTTTATTTGTGGCTTGTTGGGGAACTGTGCAAGGAAAACTCACTGGGATTACTCTGATATAGATGTGCTAGAACTGACTCAAGATGGCTGCAGTCAGATCAAGCTGAACTTCTGTAGATCCCTTGAAGGCCACAAATCGTCTATTCAGCTGGGACAGTCGAATATCT